CATTTGATCAACGACCCATAAATAGACCATAAAAATACATTTAATAAAACTAAAAACATACTAATGTAAATAAAAATAGAAAAACAATATATTAAATGGTAAACAATTAATTTTGTGGAGCGTTTACTTATTACCGTCCATTATAAAAATATTGGGGATTGTTATTAAATACGATGGTAATAACTATTTATACGATAATTACCTGGCAATTTCTTTTTAAGACTGATGATAAATAATTTATATAAATTATTGTATTTTCTTTGTTTAACACTAGTAAAGTAAATTTGTTGCAGGTTTATGTGTAATTTTTAAACATAAAAGTGACGTGTATTTAAATATTGGGCTATATAAAATATAGAAATAACACAGGTAAGTTATATCAACTAGTTCAGAATTAGAAAATAGTTTTATTTCAATATAAAGATTTATTCAATTATTAATATCAAATAATTTTAACATTAGTTTTTAGCAAAAATACAAATATACTAATAATGTTACAATCGCCATATTTAGTTGCAAAAGGTAATGTCCATAGTTTACTAAATCTCAATATAATTTTATGAAATTAACAAAGTAAAATAAGCTTTATAAATGGTATATAAATATCAAAATGATTTTTGTAACTTAAATAGTTAAAAAGTTATTCAGGTTTAAAAATTCAAGAATTTCTAGCGTTTCTCGTATATTTCGAAACTAATTTTTCAACTATTTTTTAAATTTTTTACTAATCCACTAAATCGATTTCCCAATAAAGCGATTAAGCAATAAAGGTGATTTCGGTAATAAATACAAAAATATAATTCCTGAAAAATGTATTGCAATCCTAGATTGTAATACTTAATTATCACACACATTGTGTGTATATCTTTATTAGCAACCAAGCTAAGTTGCCAATGGTGAATACCAAATGCAATGGTTTATATTAAATACTTATATGAGTTGCAAAGTTCAAATTGTAAAGCAAATAAAAGATTGCAATTTATTATTGCCTCATACCACAGTACTCTTAACACTTTCAAGTATTGAATATAAGTTATAAGTATTACTAAAACTTCATTGATACGTATCTCAATTATAATAATTGTTCAATTTGATTTTAATTTATGTTTCAATGTAATTAATGGCAGCAGTATATTAATTATTGATTTGCTAATTTTCTCTAAATTTACAGTTAATTATGGCAACATCTGGTGACAATTTCGATTGGGATGGATTGAATTCGGACGACACTGTGGAACAGCCGTATGTTGTTAATGAGGAACCTGGAGAGGAAGAATTTCGCAAAATTACTGTTTATGATATTAAAAGTAAAAATCAAATCAATCATCAGATTAACTCGCTTCAGGTAACATTCGAGTCATGTGAAAATGTGTTCAAAGCCGTCTATGATGTGCTCCGCTTCTTACCTAATTTGGATAATCCAAATTCAGGTTACTGGGAGAAAGAGGTTCGCATGATTTATTTCAGGAAAAATTAATTTCACACAATAAAATAATATGTCCAACACTTTTAGGTTATCCCAAACCTGAGTGCTTGTCTTATACAACATGTCGAGGCCAGAATATTCTTTCATGAAGCGTTTGGCACTATTAATGATCTTAGGAATACAATGTCTTCAGCAGCGCAAGTTATCAAGCAGTCGAAAGGTTTGTTTCTAAGCAGAATCCAATTGGCAAAAGGAGTTTCAGTTTTAATTTAACTCTAATGTAAAACTTTAGAACAAAAGCTTAGGTTTAGTAGGATATTTATAAAATGATCAAAATCTAGCATTGACAACATAGTAAGCCTTTTCAAAACTATAATCGTTATAATAGGTCACCCTTCTGCTGTTGAAACCGCACAAAAATATGTGCGCGAGATGTTAAATGAGTTGGAAGCCTCTATTGAAAAGGCGGAAAATCTACAAGATTCTGCTTTCAAATCTTTCGGCGCTCAAGTTAACAATATTTCAAAATTTATTATTGGCGATAAAACAGTTAACTTCAATGAGGAGCATTCAAATAATAGAAATGAACTTACTAAACAGTATGACACGCGATATAATATGTATGCTGAATTGGAGGACCTGCAAGGTAAACATATTATAAATATTTTAACAAAAAATTATGCTAAATCGTTTGTTAGCCGAAATAAATCGGTACCAATGCTTGATTGACGCAACTCAACCGCATTTCGATAGCAAAATAAGAGAAATCAGTAACATTAATGAGGAGAGGGAGCAACTCACGATGCTAAACGAGGAGGTTAACAAAAAATTGCAAAACCTTCCTGAGGAGCCGAGTGGAGTTTCCATTTTTGGATTACACATGCGTTTTAAGCCCGATAAATGGACGGTAATTATTTTTAAATAATCAATACCCACGTAGTAATGAGTTGATTTAAGCTAGAGGCAAGGGAATCGAGAAGAAAATATTATCAAAATGTGATAAACGCACGATTATCGCAAATAAAGGATAGCGAAAATTCTAAAGAAACCAAGGAAAAGTCTCAGCTCTATTTAACGGAATACATGGAAGAATGCAAGAAAAAACGTGACATCGCGAAGATCACGTTAAAAAGGAAGAAAGAGGACATTGACGAGAAAATGCCCGGAATTGAAAAGCGCATTTCAAGCCTGCTTGAGATTGAAAAAAAGCTCATAGAGAATGAAAAAGAAACTTATAATAAGGTCGGTCTGCGCGGCGGTGTATTAGTCGAAGCGTTGAGAAGCATTCGTATCTTCTCTGAAACTGTTGGCAAAGAGGCATCTGCATATGCACCATTAACGGCATTTCTTATAAGTATATAAAGTATAATTACAAAAATAAGGGATACCAGGTCTAGCTTTCCAGCGTCAAACTGTTTGCCATTTGAGTCCAAAATTTCGAGTATGGTAGAGGTGCGCAGCGGAACATTATTACGTCCTGCGATTAGATTAACGTAAACTACAATTGTCTCATTAAAATTTTAATTTTTAGGTGGCCAGTTCGGACCGATGTAACACAAATAGAATTTAAAAATTGTTTTAAAACATTTTCCAAAGTTTCTCATTTTTTAAATTCCTAAACACAAAGTTGACCTGGTAACCCTAATATAAGAATAATGTATAGTCATTGATTCCTATTTTAGGCATCAAAAGAATGATTCAGATTGACGTGGATTTGCTACTTAAAAGCGATAAGCCAAGCATATTTATAGCCGTGAACCGTATTTTGGATAATATCAAAGAGTTGAGCGAATACTACGACTCTGTTGGTTCACTTATGCAGCAATTGAGTCAGACTAAAGATTTAAATTCAATTCCGAACGCAATTGAATACGAAGAACCCTAAAATGTGATTTATTGGTCGTCATATTATAAAGTAAAGAATAGACAAATTAATATCCTATTTTGAACCTTTTATAAGTCCATAATTTATTAGTGTTTGGAACAATAAAATTATCTCTTATTGTTATCGTTGTTGTTATTGTTAAAAACAACAAAATAGAAAATTTGTAAAATTTATTTAACAAATATTACAATAACTAAAATTTAAAAAAACTTAAATTAACAATAACAAAACCAATAATTTTTTATTAATATTTTTTATTATATACTTTGTTAACAATAATATTGTTAATTGATAAAATATATATATGGTTTTACACGTTGATTAACAATAATTATTTCACAATAACAAAACTGTTTCACGAGAAAAAACAATAACTAAAACAAAAATTATGTAAGTCTTTTCTTTCTAACAATAAAAATTATCGATTAAGATTTTTAAGTTAAATATATGTGTAAATTATTCCAATTATCGATTATCTATTATTTATTATCCAATTATCTACTATCCATTTATTCTATTATACTATTGGTTTGGAAACTAAGTTCGTATAAAATCGTTTATTCCTAAATTTTAAAAATTAAAAATAATCAATAATATACTTTCTTTCTAATTTCAATGTCTTTCAGTTGTCCAATGGAAAGACACTTAATTGCAGGGGCTGGTAGCTTTTTACATATGAGCTCTAGCACACAAACTATATGTCCTAGGTTACATTTTACCACATCGTTAGAAAGAGCGTTAAAAACTAGGAATACATGGTGTTGATGAACTTGTTCACAACATAATAGTTTTTTCACAGGGAGGCCGGGTATGTTGTCTAATTTGATGTTTACACAATTTTTAAAAATACAATTATACGAATATTAAAAAGTCATGATATTAAAAATATAGGCAATCTAATCCTCTACCAATTCCTAATTTAATAAAAAATTTTCTTGACGGCACCGGGAGCAACGGTAGGTGTTTTATTGTGACTCTACTAGGAATCATAGAGTAAATCTAATAAGTGCATTGGATAGAGCTCAAAAAATGATTCAAGATAACATTTAAAATTTTTCAAATATCTTATAAAATAACTGTCCTAGAGTACCTCAAAGTTTGTACTTTTACATTGAATATTGCAATTGAAAAGAGTTTTGCATTACTATTATAAAATTTATTATAATTTATTATAAAATAGTCTACTTTTTCAATAGCAATATTCAATGTAAAAGTACAAACTTTGAGGCCACGACCCAAAAGGCCTACTACCGAAAAGGCCTACTTTTTTCAAAACGCCTAAAAAGCCCAAAAAGCTTACGACCTAAAAGGCCTACTTGAAATAAATAATTTTTTCGAAAATTTTAATGTTTTTGGGAAAAAACCCCTCTACTCGAGAGTAAATGTATTTCTATGGGGATTTCGATGTTTTTGGACACAACCCCTAACTTCTCGTAGAGTTAATGGATTTCTACGGGGAGTTGGTGTTTCTACGGGAGAAATGGGGTTTCCATGTGGGAATGCTAACTCCTTAAGGGGAGTTAATTTTCTACGATAAAAATGGGGTTTCCCCTCCTTAAAAATTTTTATTCTCAATCTAACGATATACCGAAAGTCGGGTAGGACATTATTTATTAATATACTATTAGCCTGATTTCTTAGGATCGATTCAACGCCATTAATTAAACTAGGCTGACAAGCCACATTTGTCTGGCTCAAGCAATTAATTATTTGCACACGATTATCAACGATGTAAGTGTTGTGAACTTGGTTGATTAATATTTCAGCGTCTGTGTGCTTGATAAAATTGCCCTGCTTAAGGTTCAGCAATATGTCGTTCATCGGCTTGATCTCGGCCACATTTTTGCCTTTTAAAATATTTAATAAAATTCCAATCATTGGTATAAATATTGGAGTGGCATTTCGTATTAAATGAGGAGCCTGGTATTTAAATTTATATATTTAATAATCATTAAAATAAATTATATTTTTAAAGACTTACCGCATTCCATAATTCCTGGGCCACATTTAGTTGTATTGACTCCATTGTTAATAATTGAATACCTTATATGGTTTTAATTAAATAATAAACTTTACAGAGTATTATAACATGAAAATAAATGAGGATAAGTAATTTGATAAAGAAATATGAATTCATATCAATATATTACATATAACCATAAATTCTCGGAATTTTTTTATCAGTATACAACTATTTTTTTATCAACTTGGTTAACCTTGGAAATAGTGATAATTAAGTAGTGAAGAGAGTAGGAAAAGTGCCGCTGATTTTTCGCTTACAACATACAGTATATGCTATAGGACAAATGTAGCTCATAACTGATCTTACTACGATAGACATATTTGTGTTGATAAGTTTTCAGAGAAATAGTGTCAAATATTAGTAAATGTAATAAAAATGTTACACAACTAGAGTCTTCTTATTTTGGATATAATTACTAATTTCCAAATATTAATATTATTGAAGGATTATTTATACGCAAATAATTCAAATCACAAGTTAAAATTAAAGAGTATGTCGGAAGATTGACCGACAATCAAAAAAATTTAATACCATTACCCGCATAAACTAAGCTATCAATATAATATTGAAATGTCCTGAAATTATTTATCTAACTTTAACCATTAATGAGCTAGAGTGATTTTTATTCTCAAATTTCAAAATTAAATTCCAGGCTAATGACAAGATATTTTTAAATGGTTTCTTCACTAAATTAAACACATATAG